ACTAGTCTGATGTTTGTTCTAATAGTTGGGTGTTGCCAGTTCCAATTGATTTATCTTCATTTCTTCATTCTGATGCGCAATTTTTTTTCAGTATTATGGACGTGCCAGTGATCGTTCTGGTCATGGTGCACGCGGAGATAGAGAAAGAAAAAAGGTGGTGTTTTCTTCCTCATTTGGACCTTTCATTTTTGTCTATTACGTTCTTAAGTACATTTTTTTTCCGAAATTTGTAGAGTTCAATTGCGCGCCTTCCGAACATTGATCGTCCTCCACGAGAGCCTGTTAAATTGCACAAAGCGGAACATGCTTGGAAACCAGAAATTGGGAAGAAGGAAGGACCGGATGAGAAAAAGGTACAGTGTTTTATAATATTTTACATCTCTGGGAGGACTTTAATTGTCTCATACATTAGACAACTTGAATAATTAGTTTTTTTCAAGGTTTTGAAATGTTTTTATTGGAACTTTTTCAAGTCAGCTACTACACTTTCGCCATCTTTTACAGAAACTGTATAAACAGGTGCGCTCACTGTTGAACAAAATTACTCCGTCTACATTTGACCCGCTGGCTGAGGAATTTCTCCGTTACAAATGCTACCAGAATAAGGAGAATATGAATGAAATAATCAACATTATATTCGACAAGGCAGTCGAGGAGCCTAAATTCTGTCCTCTATATAGGTATCGTTTAATAGTTTCGGTACTAAATTAGGTTTTCATTTTTGTCGGAGTAACAGTTTTTTTACAGTTCGTCAATTATTTTCATTCCCATTTAGCTCTCAAATTGTCAAGCATTTTCAGAACAGTTTTATGTATGATGAAGTAGTTTTTTGTAATGCTTTTATTTTCAGCGATCTGTGTAAAAAACAGGTAGTCGACGAGTTACAGGAAAGCAAAATTTCTGAATTTCGAAGTGGGATTTTAACTCGTTGTCAGCAAACGTTTGAGAACAAATGTCAGTCGGAAATTGATAAGAAAAAGAAGGAAGCTGAAGAAGAACAGGATGTATATTTTTCGTTTTTTATGACCCAGTCATTTTCTCTGCTGTTGCTTCCAACTTTACAGAAATTTTGGGTTGTAATATGTTTTACATATTAAATCATTTTGAAGGAACGTAAGAAAAAGGAATTGAGAGTAGAAGTAATGGAACTGGAGGCGAAAGAGAGACGCCGGATGTTTGGCAACATCGGTTTTATAGGTCAACTCTATAGGCACGAATTGATAGTGCCAAAAATTTTGAAGTGGTGCATTATACATTTATTGAAGAACCATTCAGATTCTCCGGTAGCTGCCTTTCTTTGTCAATTCAACAGCTTTATTATTGCTCTTTCTAATGATATTTCATTTGTTGCTTTAGGATTTGTTTTAAATTTCCTTAGTAATAGTATTTTCTGCTTTTAAAGTTGGGTTTTTTTTTTATATAGTGGATGTTGATAACTTTATTGTTTTCAAATTTTTGCTTCAATCAGCATGAATTTGAAGCACAATTGGGTAATTTATTATGAGACAAAATTTTGTTTTTTAGAATGGTGATGAAGAAAGTATTGAGTGTGCTGTACGAATGTTGGAAACAGTAGGTAAAATTGTGGATTATCAACAACAGCGTAACGACTTGCAGTTGCAAAGCAGTGATTTCGACATTAACGCATATTTCCAGCATCTAAAGGATCTAAGTAGTTCTGTTTCGAACCGCATTCGTTTCTTAATCTTGAACTTAATAGAACTCCGAGAGGTACAGTTTACGCAGAATATGTGTTGCTTTTTTTCTTTTTCACTTTAATAAGTATTTTGGTATAATGCCGCGTTTTTGTATATTTTCTTTGTTGAAGAGTAAGTGGAATCCTCGTAAATCAGCTGACAGCGGTCCAATGACGATAGCTGCAGTGCATGATGAAGCAAGGAAGGAGGAAATGCAGGCAAAATTAGCCCGAGAGCAGGTACCGGACAATTTTTAAAATTACTTAGAGTATCAATTTGAAGCATACTGTATTCTTTTATTTTGCTTATTCACTTGTAACATATGTCTTATTTTTTCAGTATGACAAGACTCGTAAACCGTATGATGGACGAGCATCTCTTGACCGTAGAAGGCCAGCTCTTGTTGGGCGGCAGTCGCAGGATAATCGATTTTTCAATAAGGGAGACCAGAGTCGAGATCAGAAGACTCGCGCAGCAGGACAAGCAGCACATAATGCAGGGACTTCAAGCCGCAAGCATCAGACTCTTTCAACTGTTGGTTCTTCGGCCATAATTTCTTTTTAATTCTCCATTTATGATTTCTGATTACACAGTCTTATTCATTTCTGCCATTCAGTAGTTTCGTTATTTGTGTAATACGTTTTTTTATTATGTTTTTCCTTAATGATGTATTTTTTTTGTTAGCTTGAGAGTAGTGAGATTTTGATGCTAATATCTACTGTTAAAGCCTTTTAGGTGGATCAGCCCGGCAAACTTGCCTATCGCAAGGGCACATTTAATCTTGGAAGTAGTGGTGGAAGTGGTCAGGATGGTCGAAAGAGTGGTTTAAGTTCGTTTAGGGGAGCTGGGCGGGGGGTGGTTACTTCTCGAGAAAGTTCTGAGCCATCTAGCCGTGAACCTTCTGAGTCGAGGAAACACTCTGTTGCTGGAGATAGAATGGAACGTGATAAGGTGGATGAGTTTCTGATGTGTAGTTGCTTTGACTTTATTTTAGCTGTTGTGAAACTTATTGTAAGCTTTTTACATAATCGTAAACTGTTTTTTCCTTCGTTGTCTGTTTTCTTCTGACACTTTTATTTTATTCAGGTTCCCATTCCTGCTCAAGTGTTGCCACGTTCTCACATGCCAGCAAGTGCTTCAGCTTCGTGTTTGACCACGAATTTGGAAGGGAATCGTTCAGGAACACATTCAGATGAAGAGGAAGGCGCACAAGCAAACGCTTTGAGTGAGGAAGCTGAAAAGAAGCTGTTTTTGAATTTTTCAGTTGATCTTCACGAGTACTTTGATAATCCGAAAAGTGAAGAATCGGTTTGTTTTAGAGTTTTTTT